CCTGAAAGTCTATCACCCTGTAGGTATTCAAAAACGCTCAACAGCCTCAAATATTGAGTTTTTGAAGTGTATTAGGTGTACCAAATTTCAATCAATTATTCCGAAAATTGTAGGAGAAAATTCAAAAAACATAAAAAAAATTTGAAACTTTGACACCCTGTAAATCGAAAACGAAGCTCCCACGCATATATGTTTGTTTGAGATTTTCATCTTAAAAAAATGTCTTCTTCAAGCTGTTAAAGTCCTGCTACAAAAAACCTGAAACACCCTGTATATCCATTCCATTCCATTTCCCACGGGAAAAAAGTAATTTATGAAAAGTGACATTTTATAACCTGCCAACAGAGATGAAATTCCAAACTTTTTTCCTGTCACAGAAAAAAAATCATTTTTCGATAGAAAATACCCTTTTTTCAACATCTACCTATGATATCATTTAAAGGTGAATTAGACGAGCCTAGTCATGGGTGACGATGTTCTAGAAAACACCATTGATACAAAATTTTTAGGCATTCAAATACATTTCAGATCGAAATTTTGATGTTTCGAAGTTATGCGGTGAGTGTCACATCAAATGAACTAGGATTTTCTTTTTCTGAGGTTTTTTACCACTCTTTAGTTGAATCTTATTTAAGGTATGGAATCGCATTCTGGGCGGTGTGTAATGATCATCTCATAAACTCAGTTTTTATGTTGCAAAAACACGCAGTAAAAGATATGTGCAAAGCAGACATTCGTGCACACCCCTTTTTATTAAGAATAGTTCAGTAAAGTTAAACATGAAAAGGGGGTCGTGCTTGCAAAAGGTCCGGTCGTTCTGAATTTTTTATATGTTGTTAGGACCTAAACCAATATTGAAAAACCAGATTTGCAATTTCCAAACTGCTGTGCGAGCGGCGGTATACCCAAAAAACAATTGAATTTACGGACTTTTTTCAGTTTTCGCTCAATATCTTAGAGAAGGAAGAGTCCGGAAATTTCATGGTTTCTTGGATATACCGTCGCTCGCACAGCACTTTTGAAATTGCAAATCTGGTTTTTTAATATTGGTTTAGGTCCTAAAAACATATAAAAAATTCAGAATGACCAGACCTTTTGCAAGCACGGATGTACATACATCTTGATTGGACTAGAAGCATTTATTATAAATGAGTGATTCATTCTGACAAGTACAGCCATAATTATTTTATGCCAAACTGACAAACTTTGCTCCATGGTTACATCCAGATTTAGATTTGCAATCCATGACTACATGGTTGAAAACATGAACGCTGTCAGACCAATCAGAATTGAAAGATAGCTCATGTTTTGGCGATAAGCACACGTTGTCTCTGGCTTGTGATTGGTCAGATTATGTGATGAGTGAAATAGTCAGTATAGTCAATATTATTCTCATTCCACGGTTCTGGAGCTTCTGGAGCATATTCAACTGAAGAACCGAAAGACGTTGCTAAACTCTTCAATAAATTCTACGCAGATGCGCCTAAAAAGATATTGAGCAATATAGGACAAGGACTTCAATCATTTTCTGCGTAACGTTACGTCACCTCCAAATTTTCTTTTTCTCATGCCATATCAGGAGCTTGAACTATTTCAGTTACTTTAGTCAAAATTGAAAAATAAATTTTCTTCGGGAACAGATGAGGTACCTACAATTATATTGAAAAAGTGCCTATCAGAACTTATTGTACCACTTACTTTTATGGTAAATCTCTCATTGTCTACTGGCAGTTTTCCAGAATTGCTGAAATGTGGAAAAATAACACCTGCGTATAAAGAGAACTGTCGCCAGAGCCTTGAAAATTACAGATCAGTCACAGTACCATCAACTTTTTCTAAAGTATACGAGTATTGTTTTTTAGATAGATTAATGCCATTTTGTCAAGAATATGATATAATTTCGAGAAACCAACATGGATATTTGAACAAAAAATCTATGAAGACAGCGATGTTTTCTCATCATAAAAAAATTATAAAATATATCGAGGCAGAAGAATGCCCTGTTGGAATCTTCTGTGACCTAGGCAGGGCATTTGACTGTATCAATCACTACATACTACTGGAAAAGCTATATGAGCATGGAATTAGAGGCTGTCCTCTAAGATTGGATAAAATCATTCATACTAAAACGTACACAATATGTAGCAATCAACAATCATTTCTCACAGCAAACTGAAACAGACATTGGTGTCCCTCAGGGATCCATATTAGGGCCAATTCTGTTCTATATTAATGACTTGGATAAACTTTCTGTACCTGCATCCTTTACAATGTACGCTGATGATACGTCGTTAATCATATCCGAAAAAATGGACTCTTCCTCGCGTGAATGTATGAATGAATGATTCTCAGTAAATTATTTGTTTCTGAATACTTCGAACAAACAAGCACTGAGGTTTGACCATACCCAAAAAGAATGTAATGAGTTGTCATTCCAATCAAACGAATCGGGTCCATCGATCTCGACTAGTTCGGATCAAACAATTTTCTTAGGATTGCGAATAGAAAAAAAATCTCAATTGGAAGGCTCACTCCCATTACCTAATCTCAAAGTTGAATTCGATTGCCTTTCAATTTATAAATTTGCGGCATGTACTCAATATTGATCAATTGATACAGCTCTACTATGCACAAGTTGAGAGTAGGCTACGATACGGTGTGATATTCTGGGGTTTATCTACCCTAGCAAAAGATATCTTCGTGGCACAAAAACGAATTTTACGATCAAAGACGGGGCTTTCACAGATCGATGCATGCAAAGATATATTCAAGAAACTGAAAATATTAACATTACCATGTCTAGTCATATCACAGTTGAGTATGCAAGTATTCGACAATAACGATGGAATATATGTGAGAAACAAACAAAATCATAGTTTAAATACATGACAAAAGAATGATTTTTCAATTCCATTTGGAAAATTCAAAATAACTCACCAATCTCCCAGTCATATGGCTCCTAGAATATACAATGCTCTTCCTTCAAATGAGAAACACCGCTTAACAAAACAATCATTCGAAAATAATTTGTAATCCATTTTGACAGAACAGAGTTTTTATAAGCTGGATGAATATTTGTCATGGCAATTTGCGGTGAAATATTTTTTTTAGTATTGTTGTATTATAAATTTACGAGTGTAAGTATACAGGGTGAGTCATAACTATTGGGACATAGGCTAAGGGCGGATTGTTTGGACTAAAATATGGCGATAGGACTAAATATGCCTTCATAGAATATTGCTGTGGAAAAAGATACAGGGCGTTGAAGTTGACCTTTTATTTTCGTTTTTTGCCAATAATTTCACTGTATATTCATCAATTGAACCCTATGCTGGAACAACGTTGTAACCGCCAATATCTATAAAAACGGTATTTCCATGGAACAAGGCTGTATGCGACCTATACAATCCGCTGTCATGATAGTGGGGGCATAGGAAATTTTTATGATTTCTGGTGTCATTTTGGTTAGTCAAAGTTGGAGAGTTTATGGAACAACGTTGTATGTGCTATCACGGCTACTAGTTTCCCGCGCTCTTTCTTTGTTTACATGTGTTTGGTCTGTAGTTTATCGTCGTTATAAGCAGGAATGGACGTTTCTTTGAAAGACTCAGTTATGACACAACTAAATAATAATAAAAATTCTCTTCCTTTTTTCACTTGTGCTTCATTTTTGATCTTGAAACAACGTTGTAACCGCCTTAGTTCCCTGGAATAACGTTGTAACCGACGTGGATATATAACGTTGTTTGATTGAAAAAAGAAAAATATGCTAATAAATCATAATTCTGCATGTGGTCAAGTCTATTTTGGCTATCATGCAGTCAAGTTCTTTCTTGCTAGTCATATCAGGCAAATATTTACTTCATTGATGAAACAATCGAACATATTATAGTTTTTTTCGATTTCCCAAAAAAAACATTTTTGGCGTTTACAACGTTGTTCCAGCATAGGGATTGTTATCAAAATTGGCACAGACGCATAATTTCATACACGGAATATTATTTAATGTACTATTCTACATTTTGATACAGGGGGCGCCACGTGAATGATCCCTGATGATGAAATCGCCTGGTTACTTTTTTTGACGAAACTTTTTAGTAATTTTAATTAAAAAATATGACCTGATCATCATTTCTACGTAATATTGGTACTCTTGTTTGAACACGATATTTTCATCCGGTTTCGAGGAAAACGCTATTGAACAGTTCGGAGTCTCAGATTCATTCATGAAGAGTGTGTTTTGAACTGTCAGATAATGTTGCTGGCAATAGCATTTCTTGTCAGAGAATGAATTTTGGTGCGAGTTTATAGGAAAATTTTTTCGATTGAAATGCCTCGTCACAATCATTTTATGAATGAATAAATGCAAGATGCAGCCAGAAGGTATGAATTGTAATATCTCTAATATTTAGGCAGAAAGCAACCAAATCACGAAACTTTTTCAAATATATTTCATATACAGTGAAATTATTAGCAAAAAAACGACAAAAAACGAAAAAAATCAACTTTAACGCCCTGTATCTCTTCACATAAATATTTTATTAAGGCATGTTTGGTCCAATCGCCATATTTTGGTCCAAACAATCCGCCCTTAGCCTATGTCCCAATAGTTATGACTCACCCTGTATATACATGTTGAATGTAAGCAACTGACTTTTCCCATATGGTTTGTAACTGTCTTAAGGAAATAATGATTATTATTATAATCATAACAGACATAGGTATAGGGAACATTGATACAGATAAATATGAAATTGAATTATCCGTCATTTAGTGAGAAAAAAAATTGGCGTTCCACTTGAAAAAAATGTGTTATGAGTACTTGAACTTGCATGAACATTTTCTCAAATTTGAAAGATTTCAAATCATTTACCCTAAGATATGAAAAGCCTGCATCTGCATATTCATTTCATATGATCTTCAAAATCATTCGTGGTTATGTCTGACTGTCACTGCTTGTCAATTGTTCGTACTCTTATCAGTTTCTGGTTGATTTTCAGGTTGGTCCTTTCAGCGGCCAGTGAATACTTTTCAGCGATGTTCACTGGCGGTCTAAGTAACACTGACGAAACCGAAATAACATTGGGAGATGTGAACGGCGATGTCCTTCAAGCAGTCATCAATTATTGTTACACCGGCTCGATAGAAATCAGAGAGGACAATGTGGAAACTTTATTGGCAACTGCTTGTCTTATGTTACTCCACGAGGTGGTAGAAGCATGCTCGAGGTAAGAACAAATTTTTCGAAATAATATCCAAATAGCCAACGTGCTCAAAGTAGAATGAAATGTTTATGAAGAAACAAAAACTCAAAATTCGCCTAGATGGTGGTCTTAGTATTTGTTTATATGAATCATTGCATAGATTTCAGGAAGATGTAATTAAATTTTCTGCATGGCATCGACTTCTCATACATCATTGTATTCAGAAGAAAAAATGATGCTCGAGGTAAACTTAAGCTGCATTCTATTGCAGAAACCAGATGGACAATTTGTTGTTTTATCGATCTCAAATCTTGCTACCAGTGTCACTTTTGCTTTGATGGTCAAACATTGAATACCCAGTGTAATATGGAATATGGAAAGTATGGAGAGGGAAAACAACATGTTTGTTTCATGGTTATTTTTGTTGGTTCTGAATGGGGGACTTCGCTCCAAGTTGCCAACCTAAAAACCTCTACCAATGTAGAAGCAACATTATGGAAGTTTTATTACTCAAATAGCTTCATTTCGATGAAATCTGATTGTAGGAGTCTACTCAGCTCACGAATAGAAGTTATTCAGAATAAAAATTGATTTTTGTGAACTCCAGTTGTGATTGGTTGAAAATTATGTTGATGCACCTGTGTCCTGCTTTCATTCTAAAATATGTCATATCATCGTCAATATTATTACTTGTCACATTTTTGTTAGGTATTCAAGTTTATTTTGTATATGGACAACACTATTATTTATCATTATTAGGTGAAGAAGTTTGATCGGTGCAGTAGGAATTAAGAATATATTTGAGTGCTAAAAATCGATCGGGACATGACTTAGTAAGAATGAAATAATGAAGTTTCAACCTTCTGGAAATTTTTTTAAGTGGATGAAACCATAACTGTTTGGAAACGAAGGAATCACAGTCGATATCATAAATGAAAAAATACTAAAAAAGAAATTGTTCAATAAATACTTTTAAAGCTTACATGAATCACCTTGGATAAAAACTGGTCAAAGTTTCCAATAATAGAGATACATATTATCACGAATGTCAGCTGCTTATGATCTATAAGGCACAGATCCGACCTTTCCTGGAATACTGTTCCCATATTTGGAGTACAGCACCCAAACATACTCTGGAACTGTTGGATTCTGTCCAAAAAAGGGCAATTCGCCTCGTGGGTGATGCATCGCTCACAAACCCGCTCACTTCTCTGGAACAGCGTAGAAAAGTTGGCGATCTGGCTCCATTTCATAGATATTTTCATAGACGATGCTCTTCAAAAATACAACAATATCAAAATAAGATACCTTTATTCAAATAATTAGACACAGATAGTTTATTAGTAGCAGAAATCAAAAAGTTATTGGAATATCACAATATTTATTATAGCATGATATACCTATTATGGGTAGTGAGGAAATATAAATGAACAACAATAAATATAAATATTGTCTGTAGGTTAATCGAGGAGGTGTTATATTCATTATTCAAGATTTTTTGGGATTTTCTCCTCATTTCTATAAAATAAAAATATTAATATTATTTCAATATACGTGTAGTAAGGACAAATCAGATGTTTTGCCCCAAAATGTCACTGCGTTTAAAGAATTTTCCTATTAGAGAGCCTGAAAGAATAATTCACTAGCTTATCAGTGACAATTTGTATTGAAAACGGGAGCAGATTCGTTTCCGAAACGTCCAAAGCTAAGCAAAAATTTTTTCTATACACCTTTATTTCTCTTCTCCAAACTTTTTTCAATACAGATTGTCACTGACAAGATTTTTCTTTCAGGCTCTCTCATAGGAAAATTCTTTAAATGCAGTGACATTTTGGGGCAAATCATCTGATTTGTCCTTACTACATGTATATTGAAATAATATTCATATTTTTATTTCATAGTAACGACGAGAGAAAATCCAAATAAATCTGGAATGACGAATAAATATAAAGACCTAATAACAATGTTCTGTTGATTACCATTACGACGAGTCGAGAGTAGCACCAGACCAGATAACTTGGAACCCTCACATCCAGTTTATTATAGCTTTGCACGTCTCACATGAGATTTTCTTGATCATCATCCAAAAGTTTCGAACGATTCGAACATTACATGATATACCATTTTTTACTCGTGACACTACTGACACTATTGAAAGTATTGACACTTCAGTATTGACGTATCGCAGATGCACCAACCTGATTTTCAACCAGTCAAATGTGAAGTTCACAATTACTAATTTTTTTTCTGAATAACTCATTAGAAAGCTGAGTAGACGCATACAATCAAGTTGCACCAAAATAAAGCTATTTGAGTAATCAAACTTTCATAATATTACTTCTACAGAGGTAGAGGTTTTTTAGGTTGGCAACTTGGAGTGAAGTCCCCCATTGAGAATCACGAATTTGAGTTCTTTCTTTATACTGCTTTATCAATATTATAAGTAAAACGACAATTGACATTTTCATGACTTACTTCAAATGTACTTTTATTGGAAACCTCATTTTATTAGCGACTTTTTGTGGCAAACCATCTGATTTGTCCTTACTACACATAAATTGAAATAATACTCATATTTTTATTCATAGAAACAAGAAAAAAATCCCAAATAAATCGGAGGAATGAAATGTTCCGTTATTTTTTCTCTGCAAAAAATCACCCTCCCATTTCTTTGATATTCAATTTCGTAACTTTTTTACAATTCATCTAATAGTTTCTGAACAACGGTGTAACAAAGTTGAGCATAAAACTCGCGAATCATTTTTTTAAATTCAATACACATTGAAGCTACTAAGTACTAATTATGTTGGCAGATTTCTAGCACATCAATTGCATCCTAGCAATTGTTTGGGCATAGCGGTTTTCGCCGAGCACCAAGCTTGTACCAGTCTGCTGCAAGAGGCAAATGCTTATACCAGTCAACACTTCATGCAGGTGATTTGTATTTGATTATTATCAGTTTTTTCTTCACTTCTCAAATCTTTTCAATACATTTTTATTTTTCTCGAAAACACTTTATTTCTTGACATGATTTCACGGCAAATAAAAAAGTCGTATTGATAAAAATTTAAAGTAATCTGATTGCATTTGAAGATTGAGTTGTATTTTGTATCAAGAAAACACGATACATTTTATTCCATGTATATGGTGGTGTTATTCAAGGTGAAGCATTTTGAGCCATCACATCAGATGCGACATCAAAGTTTCTGTATCTGAATGACTCAATGAAGATTTGAGTTAGGTATAGGGATCCTCAAACTTGATTCTCTTTCATATGGTGTCAAAAAATGATAGTAGGTGCCATTTAAAAAAGTTGATTTTTCGGCAATTTTTCAATGCGACATTTGAAAGTCGCCTGCGCCCATATGGTACAAAATTGAATCATCGATGGGACATTAGAAGTTAGCCTGGACTTATAGCTAACTGTTCTATAAATTTGATGCTTTAATATTGAACGGTTTGCGAGATACATATGTTTTGGTAAACTACACCTTTTCCTGTTGTATTTCAGGAAGCGTTAATTGTATTTCAGAATAATCACTGAATCCTGTAATCTATTGTTCATAGTTTTCTCCAAATGTTCGGTAGCAAGGAAATCGGTCTGCACAAAAAACGTATAAAGAAAGTTGAAGATTTGGAGTCATCACATGGAAACTCAAAACGAACTGAACACGAAAAGTGCATGTGTTAGTATGGTAATGAAAGAAGAAATAACGTAGGATAAATCTGAATTAAATATGTGGGTATCTACCTACTTATCGTACTTAATACTTGTGTGGTGTGCAGAAAAGCACCAGTGCAAAGAGCCAAAGGCATCACTGGAAAACTAAAAAAAAAAAATAACCCAACTATAATTTTCGCCTTGACAAAGGGTTGGCCAAGTTCGATAAGACGGTGCATTGTGATACGTATCTGCTCTATAGAAGGGTATTTTGTATAGAAAGTTCTGACATTAAGTGAAAAACTTTAATGACAAGAATATGACATGAGTAATCCAAAATCTCGAATTACAGAGTGAACACAACAATTCCTCCCTGATAAATTTATAGATTTAATCTTTCTGGTTCCCTTTTTATATTTGTACTTCTTCGCAATGGTATAGATGGATCACTAGATTCTGGTTCTGTCCAATGATCAGTTTCCTTTATTCTCTCTTCATTTCTTGATGAAGTAAAAGACTCTGAGTTTGCATCATAGTTACTGATTACAGAAGTCCTACCAGTATTAGAACTGCTTTCATCATTTCCCAAATTAGTGATTGAGGTTCTAGAAGAATTAGCTTGAGCAGGTTGTGAATTTGTTCCATTATCTTCAGTATTCATCTCAGAAGATGTGCCTGGCACGAAGCAGAATTGAGGTTTCGAAGTAAATAGTTGGAACCACAACTTTTGTCGAAGCTATTTGATTTACATGTCTCCTGATCATTCGCCCTTCAATTTCTATTAAATAAATTAAATTACTTTCTTGTTTGACGATTTTTCCAAATTCCCATGAGCAATTTCTTCTTCTGTCGTAGTTCCTTACACGAACAGTTTCTCCCACAGTAAAATTTGGGACTCTTGGACTCTGATTAGAACTTTCCACAGGTTCCTGAAATCTAACCAAATCAAGTTTTGTCCTGATTCCTCTTCCAAACATCAGCTGTGCAGGTGACTTATTAGTAGATGAGTGTGGTGTTTTCCGGTATTGTATCAGGAAATTTTGAAGTTTCAGTTCCAAATTTCCAGGGTCCATCATCATTTTCTTCAATATATTTTTCATGGTACCTACATATCTTTCGACTTGACCGTTCGATGCTGGATGATATGGAGCCGTAAATTTGTGTATTATTCCATTGCTTTTAACAAAATTTTTAAACTCTTGTGATGTAAATGTTCCTCCATTATCACTAACCAGTGTCACCGGCAATCCAAAACGTGCAAAAGTACTTCGTAAAATTGAAATTGTTTTTGTAGTGTTCATAGAATTTGTCATGAATATTTCTGGCCATTTAGAAAACGCATCACAAATCACAAGAAAAAAAGTTCCTTGAAAGGGTCCTGCAAAATCAATATGCACTCGCTGCCAAGGTTCCTTTGGAGGTTCCCAAGAATGAGGTTGAATCTTCACTTTTTCGTGTAACATAGACTGACAACTACGACATCTCTTTGCTATTTCTTCAATATCTATATTTATTCTTGGCCACCAAACAAATGATCGAGCAAGTGCTTTCATTCTCACTATTCCGGTATGTGCTTCATGCAATTCGTCCAGGACTCTTCGACGTAATTTTTCAGGTATAATAATGCGTGATTCTTTCATAACGGTACCTTCATTTAAAGAAAATTCAATATCTCTCCCTTTGAATCCCTCTTCTTCGATTTGAACACCAGTTTGCAGTCATTTGTAGACATTTCTCAGGATTGGATCTTCTTGTGTCTCTTTCGATATTTCCCTGTGTGTTACTGGCAATGTGAGAATTTGTTGTAGCTGATGTATTGTCACACCATCCATCGTTTGATTGAATGTTTCTGAGATGTTCATAGGTAACCTAGATAATGCGTCTGCATTTGAATGTTTGTCAGTGGATCTGTAAACAATGTCGTAGTCAAACCCTTGCAAAAATTGTGCATAATGCAGCATTCTAGTAGCTACCATACTGGGAAGATTCTTGTTAGGGTGGAATATCGAAACTAGTGGTTGATGATCAGTAATCAATTTGAATTTACGTCCATAGCAATATTGAAAGAATTTCGCTTCTTTATCTATTTGACTGTAATTTTGTTCTGCCCTAGTCAAACTTCTTGAAGCAAAAGCGATTGGATGTTTACTGCCATCTGAAAAAATATGCGAAAGTACTGCTCCCAAGCCTTTGGGACTAGCATCGGTAGCTAAAATCAATGGTAATTTAGGATCGTAGGCGCAAAGAATCTGATCAGATGTGATTTCTCTTTTTATTAAATTGAAAGCATCTTCACAAGCAGGCGTCCATTTGAAAGGTGTATTCTTTTGCAAAAGGATATAGAGAGGATGTAATTTGGAGGCTAGATGTTTCAAAAATCTTCCATAATATGTAACTAAACCCAACCAACTTTTCAATTCAGTTATGTTTGTTGGTACTGGAGCATTTTTTATCGCTTTAGTTTTCTCTTCAGTTTTTTCTAAACCTCTGCTTGTAATTTTATGCCCCAAGTACGTAATAGATTCTTCAAAAAATTTACATTTCTCTTGTTTTATGTGTAATCCAGCTCCCTGTAGACGTTGCAAAACTATTCTCAATCTATCTAAATTTTCTTGTAATGTAGCTCCTTGAATTTTGATATCATCCAAAAAAACACAAACTCCAGGTATCTTACTCAATAAATTTGTGATGTATCGTTGCCAAATAGCTGGAGCAACTTTGGTACCTACCAAACATCAATCTATTTATTTTATAGTCACCTTTTTCAGTAGATATAGCCTGTAACTTTGCGCTATCTTCGGTCATTGGCATATGTAAGTAAGCTTCCCGAATATCCAACGTAGTGAATATTTTTCCTCCATGTATTGTCGTAGCAAAAATGTCTTCAATGTTTGGAATTGGAAATTTATCATTCATCAGCACTTTGTTTAATGTAACTTTGAAATCTGCGCAGAGTCTAATAGAACCATCACTTTTCATAACGGGAACTACCGGTGTACCCCATTCACTGTATTGTATTTTAAACAAAACTCCTATTTCTTCCAATCTGTCAATTTGATACGTATCTGCTTTATAGTAAAGTTTTTCGTATAGGAAGTTCTGATATCAAGTGAAAAACTTCAATGACAAGAATATGACATGAGTAATCCAAAATCTTGTATTACAGAGTGAACACAACACATTGTACTATATCTCTGTTATATGTGTAATGTATAATCCTCATAGATGAGTAATATTCTTTCTCAGATGAAGGGTGTTCAAAATCGAGATTTTCCAACTTCAGGATTTTTTTTTGTGTCGAAACGATTCATTATCGGTCAAAACGGCTTTCATGTCCCTATCTTAACTTTTCATTTACTATCTACTGACATTCAATTGGAACAGATACAGAGTGATCAGAACTCTGAATCATGAACCACCCGGTATTTGTTCCAATTAAATTAAATTTAAAAGTTGAAAAATCTCGATTTTGAACACTATATCTCTGTAATCATTCCCTCTAGATCCCAAGTGTGATAGATAGATGAAATCAGTTCTTCAGGAAGAATCTAACAATGCAATGAAATTCAGGGTGTTCCATTTGAAATAACAAAGTTGCTACCACTTTCTGATAGAAATGACAACACCGCATTGTTGAATATATTTTGAACAGATAGAGCATGCGTGTCCAAGCTCACAAATTTCTGAAGTGATCTGCCGTTCGGTTCAACATCTAATGTTCCATCCACCGTGAAACACCTCGTATATGATATGACTTTGTATTGTGTGTGTCTCAGTACACTCTTGCTATGGAAATGAATTTTTATTTACATGTGTGAATTTTGATACATTTTCATATTATGTTGTTTTTAATTAATGAATGACTGTATCAAATACTATTCATACATGAAACGATCAATATAAAATAGATATGTGGCATAAATTCGACTGGTGCGTACAACCTCCATTATTGAATGTGAAAAACTCAATAATAGTTCAATACCCTATATATGTTATGATTAAAAAAATATAAAATATCGGATTTGTTCCAAACATTACGATCTCACTGTATGTTGTTTATTTGAGATCCGTTGTATTGAAATTGGGCTGTGTTCAATTCCAGGTCATACGTAATCAAGAGTTTCTTCAACTGAACGTTGACCAAATGACAAATCTGCTCAGCAATGATGATCTCAACATTTCTTGTGAGGAGCACATATTTCAAGCTCTTATGTGTTGGATACAGCACGACTCCAATAATAGAAGACAACATATTGGACATTTACTGGGACTTGTTAAACTGCCACTTTTGCCACCAGCATTTTTAACTGATCACGTTGAACCCATGACTGAAGGTAAAATAATGAACAATATGTATTCACATTTCAAGATATGGATGTGGCTATGTTCTTTCCGCGAATTGCGTTCAGAACCAATGAAGCAATGAAATTGTTTTTTTCTGTGACGGAAAAAAAGTTTGACATTTCATTGCTGTTTACAGGTTATAAAACGTCACTTTCCATTAATAACTTTTTTTCCCACGGGTAGATCCGTTTTCAAGTGAGAATGTTGAGATTTACATTTTTCCTGGTCAAAATGCCAAAAATTGCATGAACAAAAAAATTGGGAGAACAAGTGCCCCTGGTCCCACCAATTTCCGATTCTCCTGATCAAAATTCATTCTCTCATTCATTCCCAAATCGATCATAAAAAGTTGGGTACATGTACAAAATTTGTTTATTTCATCACAAAGGATTTCGAAAATATTCACGTAATACCATCATCTCGGGCTCCCCTTTAGATTGCTATAACCCCCCAGGGGGCATTTTTGGACCCATGTTTATGTAAACTTTTTTCACTATTCTTGTTCCTTGAAATTTCATAGAGACATTTCAACCACAGCTTCTAGAAACAAAAATAGTGAAAAATGTTCACATAAACATGCGCCCAGAAATGGCCCCCTGGCGTTACCCCCTATATAACAAGTCTTGCAGGCTCCGTGGTGACGTCACCTTAGTGAGGCCTAACAGCGGCTCGAAACGACAAGCGCTTATGGCGCTAGGAGAGGACCGCGTATTTCAATTTTAGTTTTAGATCATTCTTGAGCCGATTTTGCTGTTTTTTTGAAGGGCTTCCGGTTAAAAGAGGATGTAGTCACCCTTCTTCGCATCCCATTCGATTTTATTATGGAAAAACGAAGTTTCAAAGCGAAAACCAGAATAAAACACAAATACCCACCTACACCAACCCATTCGAATGAAATATATTGGCAAAAATTGTAGTGATTTAATCTCATTGGAAGTAAACTTCACACCTATATATACATATAGGGCCCGCAGAACATAAACTTATCGTGAGATTGGTCGAAAGAAAATTGGGGAAAATGTATTTTATCTTGATAGACATGCCGTTTGTTATAATTATCTATTACCTATTACCTAAAAAATTAGCCAGTGAGTGTTTTCAATTTCCTGTTGTTGGATTTTTTACCCAATTGATCGTTGGACTTGAAACAGTAATTTTCAAGTAGAGTGTTTGTAGTACATGTTAATATGATAGTTGCAATTTGATCATTGGAATAAATTCTGCATTCATTGGCACGAGGCAAATGACCGTTTTCAGAAAGATACTTGAGAATGTATTGAGTTGAAAATGCCCGTTTATTATGTGTATATACATTCAAGAATATTTCCTCGAATTCAGAGATGATTTTGTTAAATATAATATACGAATACAAAACTAACTGCACAATCAAAGCTTGCGGATACTTCTTATGAGAGAGTAATTGTCTTCTATTATTAATCCATCATTATAAATTAAGTTCTCTTTACAAAATTTGCACTGAATTTTTCTAAGTGGAATAAAGCAACAATAACCTGCTAAATAGGTTATTACCGGCATATCATCACTAAATTTATCTATATCAGATTCCTCGACTATGATATCTGGATTGAAAGAATGATTTTCTTGGATTTCTTCGGTGAAATCAATATTTTCGTGGAAGCGCCTGATTTGTATATTATCGTAAGTACGAGACTTTAGCGGGAGCAGTGATTGAATTCTGAGCCTTTTTTCCGATTCTTACAATTGTCGAATAGATATGATATTGTCCACCTGAAAGTTGACGATATTTCCCGAACCTATGTTCCAAATCATCTGTTTGAAATTCTCCTAGTAAAACATAATCCATCTTGAGTTCGTTAAAACAATATTGTATAACTTCTGTCATTCCATATATAGTGTGAATCAAAGCATTATGTGTTTGGTTTGTTAGTTTATTAGTAGAATTTGCAGATTTCCAAGTTTCTAACCAATCTGTCATTTTATGCAAGAAAATGAATTTTTCATCGGAACATAAATTTATAGCTGTGATAGGTTCTTGAAACACATTATTCAAACGTTTGCCCTTGAGGGGGGAGAGGGGTTTGATGTAATTCACATACTCTACTGTACTCAGATGGAGTAAAATCCTCGAGCACGCGATTGCTTCTCAAACACCGAGAACATATCTAAACAAACTGATGACAGTCGTGAGTCGATACGCGAACAATCACTCGAAGGATGGATGGCCTCAGTAAGCTGACGTCACGAGCTGTTCACTACGAGCCTGCAGACCTTGTTAGTATCGGGGGTAACGCCCCTGGGGAGTTATAACCATCTGATAGGGGGCCCGAGCTGATAGTTTTTTGTAAATATTTCCGAAACTCTCTGTGATGAGATAAAGAAATTTTGTATATGTATATTGATTTTCATGACCGATTAGGGAATGTTGAAAATTTTCCGAAATTTTTATCAGGGGCGTGGAAAGTAGGTGGGTCCAGGGGCATTTCTTCCTCCAACTTCTTTCCTATGCAATTTTTGGCAGAATTAGACTGTCAGATATTTGATTACTTCAAAAGAATAATAAGGATGCCTGCAACGCAGGTGTAGTTCCTGTTGAATACTTCAAATTTCACGTCGATAATTTTCTGATTTTAATACAATGTGTATTATAGTGTATTATACACTGAAAAAATATGATATTTTAGCAACCTCTGGAGCTAAAATCTACCATTTTTTCCCTTGTATAATAAATAACTAAAGTTCTCAAAGAATTAAGTGGACTACTTAAATTTTTAAATCTTTTCAAAATGCGATGACTTTTTTGCTAATAAACCTATTTTCAATCGGAATGCAGTATTCAGAAGATGCCTCCTTTCTGTTTAGGATTCATTGTTTGAAACTTTTTGAAGTTTACAGTTATGACATCCCAAGTGGTCGAAAAGACATAATCGAAAAAAGTTTAGGAGCTTTCGTAGTCCCCAGGAAATTTTCATTCTTCTGAAAATCAAATTTCTAAAATCTTCAAGTCAATATTTCGAAATGGTTTTGAAATTTCTGACCTTCCTGATACAGGATGTGAAATATCTATATTTTTCGAAATTCTGTTTATTTATGCATTTCTGTGGATTTGAAAAAGTTCATGCGATATTCAAACCGTACTGCACTGTAGTACGATTGAATTCATTCCTGGTGAAGTTATCCACCTGGCTTTAAGAGCAGCAGAACTTTCGACAACAAAATGAGCGTTTATCGAATAATGTGTGAGATTTTGTGAAATCGACTGCTCATACACAATAATGTGCTTGTGAAGTTATGAATTCTCAATTCAGATGGATTGCCCTAGTAAACATCTCGAAACAATTTCGTGATTTTCTAGATAAGTCAATTCCTGGGGCCTCAAGGGGGCACTTTTGCATTATTCAGTACTTTACATGAAATATTGAAGAAACGGTGATTTCCAGACATTCCTGAGTTGGTATCAAATTAAGAAACCTCTATAGTGCACGTCTCCTTCATTACTTGGGAAAAATGCACGTGAAAAAACGATTCTGAGCAAGTGATTACATTTCAATCATTCCACCACTCAACATAACATCCCATTATGAAAGAATTGCCAAGCTTGTGACAACAACTGGCATTATCCTACAGTCTAATTATTGAAGTTACATTATCACTGTTCCTATTTAGTGAAAACAGCAGAATATGGGAGCTCCTGAGCTTTTTCGATTATGTAACACTCTTTTTGACCACTTGGTATGTCATAACTGGAAATCTTCGAAAAGTTTCGAACAATGAATCCTAAACTAAGAGGGCGCATCTTTTGAACACTGCATTCGAAAATCGGTTCATTTGCAAAAAAGATCATTTTAAAAAACGTTAAAATTTCGTGTGGCCCACTTAATTCTTTGAGCACTTTATTTATTTCCATTCGAAATTGATTGAGAAATTGCAGGGCAATTTTTTATCTTCGTGAGTGAATTTTCAATGAGGTGCGCAAATATCGCATTAATGGATTCCCTAAAAAACATCAATAGTATATGCAAGGTTATATTATGTTGAAAAAATCAATATGTTGTGAAATATTCAACATGTCATTGTGATTTGCGACGTCATGCTTTTCTGGGCCATTAGTATATTTCTGCCATTTCTCGAAGGTGACCCAACATGCCAAAAACTCATAATGGAAGCCATGAAATGGCATCTACTGCCGGAACGAAGACTGCAAATGGTGTGTTCCAGAACTAGACCGAGAAAAGCAACTTTAGGTAGATTGCTTGTGGTTGGAGGAATGGATAAGAACAAGGGGGCGACGACTATAGAGAGTTACGATCCTAGGTGCGATGTATGGACGGTGTCGCATCATATGAGCGGTAGACGATTACAATTTGGCATAGCTTTAATGGAAAACAAGTGAGTGTGGAATCGGGACTTGACAGGTCTGGATAAGTATATTTTGTTTCTACTACTTTACTATAAAACTTAATTTTCGACCGCCATAGAAGCGAGGAACATGGTACTATTCCTCCCACTGGAGGAAATAGTTCTTTGTTTTACTAAGCAGCAAAGTAGTAGATTGACTGCCGCGGCTGATAGTTCATAACCAAGCGTAGCGAGGCTAGGAATTCAGCCAAAGCTGCTGGCTTCCCTTTTGAGCACAGGTGCCGTTCGATGAACTACAATGTTTTTTCTTTCCTTTGGGACATATATCATTTAGCTATCAGATGATTGTAGAAATCGGCTCTCCTACTATTATAAGAATGCAGGCATCTTAATTTTTAGGACATTATAAAAAAGAATACCTTAGTGGTAGATAAAAACTATACAGGGTGTAATTTTATTGATAGCTGAAAATATAGTATATGGTTCCCTAGCTCATTCTGAGTAGAAACGTTCATATGAACATATTCCCCAAGCATCTTAACTTTCCAACTATAAGGGGTTGACATTCTATTTTCTCTTTATTGATTAAAGAAACTTTCACAATGTAAAAAACTGTTACGTTCATGAATACTTGTCAAAATAAGACAGTAACGTAATACAATACAATACAGATTTTATATCAAATACCTTGGTTTCATGTTAGATAAGAACCTAACCTTTGGTGCACATTTAAATTATATGTCTAAAAAAATAGCAAAAAAACTTTACTTTTTCACACGAATATCTACTCATCTGTCTACCGCTGCTAAGATCACCATTTATAATACCATAATAAAACCACATTTTGATTATTGTAGCACTCTGCTTTATGGTTGTGACCAGAATAAAATTATGGCATTACAAAAACTGCAGAACCGAGGCATGAGGGTGATTCTTAGATGTGATCGTTTTAGTAGTATCTCTTCCATGCTTGATACACTGAGTTGGTTATCGATAAAAGATAGACTTTACCGAACATCAATGATATTCATTTTTAAGATTATTAATAATATGCTACCAACCTACTTCAAGGAATTTATAATTTATCGAAATAGTACACATGCATATGAAACAAGACATAATGATAACTTCCACTTGCCAAGATGTAACTTATCGAACTCGATGAAAATATTATTGTATAAAGGTTAAATCAATATAATAAGTTACCACAAGAAGTGAAAAATGTCACAAATCTCCGTCAGTTTAAATCAAAACTAACTGCCTTTATCAATTCAAATGTCATAAGATAGAATAGATATGTAGATTGATATTATTATTATATAAGTACCTGAATCATTGTTTCTGCAATTTTAATATTGTGAATATTAGGATAAATTCATTCATTCAAATACAAAATAGGGCATTAGTCTACTAGTTCAAAATAATTTCGTTATGCCGCAAATGCATGAAAATTGTTTTTATTTTTTTACGCGAAAACGGTTCGTTGGACGAAAAAAATCAGATCAAATTGTTGTTAATAACAATAGGATTTCAAAAATTATTCTTATTCTCGAAAAAATCGAGGGGGTACAATATTTTTTTTTTAAATCTCTAGGATACATCCCTTACGTACGCCACTGGTGTAAAGATATTAAAAAATCTTCTGCATCGAAAAATGCATATTGGTGCTTAGTAGGTGTATGTCGAATTTTATGAAAATATCTAAAACGGTATTGAAAGTATGATAAGAATACGATTTTTTTCTTAAAATTTTATAGGTCGAAAGTTGAGAGGTTTAAGGGATATGTTCATATGAACTTATCTTCTCTAAATGAGCTAAAGAACCATATCCTTCATTTTCGGCCATCAATTAAATTACACCCTGTATACATAACTCAGGAGGAAAAGCATTATTTTCCTTCCTTGGTTTGTGAATAGCTATTTCATTGGACATTTCAGATTATTGGTAGTTGGTGGAAGGGATGGTTTGAAAACTCTCAATACAATGGAGTGTTTGGATATGGAATCTGGATCGTGGACACAATTGTCTCCAATGAATACTCACAGACATGGATTGGGTGTTGCCGTTTTGGGAGGTACATTGTATGCAGTTGGAGGACATGATGGATGGAGCTATTTGAATACAGTTGAAAGGTAATTTGATAACTCACTTCCAGTTCTCAACAATCTTTAACTTCTTCAAATATCTATAGGTACCGATTTGCAATATTAGAATGCTGTATTCAATAGCTTTCAGAGTTTCCGAGTATTCAGGAAAAGTATCCTGAAGACGAAAATGTTTAGGTGAATTCCTTAGGGTTTTTGTTTGTCAAATCAATTTCTTCAAGCCTAAAGTTGATACACGAAATTATTTTGTAGATTTCGACTATTCTCATACAGAATGTGAAATTTTGAAATTTATTTGAATGGTTTGGCTCTCTCTACATATACGCAGAATCTAAAAAGTTATTGGCAATGAGTGGCAATATTCATAACATTATGCTTCGTTATTCCAGGTGACACAGACCCCTTTTCTCCTTTGTTTTTCTAGCTATATTTCCGAAATTTGGAACATCGTATATGCCCACTAATAGGCACTTTCTGACCTATAAAGGATTTTTTTTTATCTTCCGGTTTTCCTGAAAATGGCATCAACTTTCGATTTTCAAATGGAACACCCTGTATTTTATCCCATAATCGGTTAGGGATTATTATAACGAATTCAACGATACTAGCTTTGAGACTTCCAAACAATGAAAATTTTCGGCCGAGAGATTCGCGAATCACCAGGGAGGAAAGAAAATAAAACATTGAAAAAATACCAAAAGGGTAGGTTAGGTTAGTAGGGATTTGAACCCGCGATCTCTCGTAGCACGTAGCTCACTTGGCTATCGTAGTTCTTTCAAAACTATGAACAAAACGTATTAGATTTGTTCTCGTTCGAAAAATAAACACTCCGAAACCATCAGGAGCATGCTCAGTTTCACAGAACTATTGGCATCTTTCATGTTCCGTGGAACTGCGCATGCTTCCGATGGTTTCGGAGTGTTTATTTTTCGAACGAGAACAAATCTATTCATAAGGCGGATTTCCACCAAACGGACAAAACAGCAACAAAAGAGAAACTCTTGTCAATCTCAACAAAACCACAACTTTTCAAAGAAATTCAGAATGTTTTGGACAACTTGCCACTGCAGGAAATGAGATAGAAGTATTTCCAACAAGATGACACTCCCCCACATGATTCAAGAGCAGTCCGGGAGTATTTGCTTGAGACATATGGAAAAAGATACGGCCCTTTCAGATGGCCTCCACGATCTCCCGACCTATCTCCTCTCGATTTTTATTTATGGGATCATATTAAAAACCAAGTTTATGCTCGTCAGCCTACAACGCTGGAGAATTTGAAAGAGAGAATTCAGGGAGCAGTACAAAGAATCGGTGTGGATGAACTCACTGCTGTCATAAGGTGTACAGTGGAAAGGACCAGGTTGCGTATAGCCATTCCCCCGTACAGTACAGAGCACACCGTCCGATTAGGTGCTCTGAGACGCCCTGGACTTTGTTTATGATTTATTTCACGCCGACACAACAAACCCCAGTGCATTCCAGAGCAAACGGTTGCATTGTTTTGACACTAGCCCTCGTTGGAATAGAAGGAATGTTAAGGATGGTTATTCACAAGCATTAATTTTTTTCCAAACACTTACCTCCTCTCCCTATCCTCCCTAGGTACGCACGTTGTTCCACGAACATTATAGGAAATGCCTTTCGTGTTCTCCAAGATATGAAAAAAATAAAGTCACATAGGGTACCTACTATTCCAAATATGAGGATAACAGTCACCTACCTACTGTCCAATTTTGAGGACAACAGCTGTAAGTAATTTTGAATTCATACTCATTATACTCATACACACAGAAAAGTAAATTTTAAACAACTTTTGGATCAATATGAAATAATGTCATTTCTATCATCAACTTTATTGAAATGATTCAGCAAGCAGTTTGAAATCATTGCAAATAGCACCATACTATAGAATAGAGAAATGTCAGGTTCAACTTCGCATGGTTGCGATAACGTCAAACATACAAATATAATGAATTCATCATTGAGTTTGACGTTATGATATTTTGTTTTTTATTAGTGCGAGATAATCATGGAGAAAGTATACTGTACAACATATATTCCAATCTCGCGAACCGAAATCCTCGTCTAAGTCTTTAACTACAAACTTTTCGTGCGTTTGTAACAAACCAGATTTTTCATAAAATTGATTTGAAATTTGAATGATATGAATTGCTTGTTGAATGATTTCAACACAGTTGATCGAAATGGCGAAGGTTATTAGAATTAGTAGTATTGTTCATATATAACGGTAGTTACAATTATCTGAAAAGTTCAGATCTCGAATTCGAGTTCAATTGATTATTCAGGCCGCTTACGCATATACGTACATACTAAATTGCATATCTGAGTAACAAGGAAAAATCCTATATTTTATGCGAGGAGGTAGTGCATAATTTCTGCGAGGAGCTTTGTAGCATTTAGGTATATAGCAATGAGCGATGCTGCTCTGAAACGTACTGGGGTTTGTTGTGTAGGCGTGAAATTGATCATGAACCAAGTCCAGTGCTTTTCAGAGCACTATGTCGGACGGTACGCTCTGTGCTATACAGGGGAATGGCTATACGCGACCAGGTTGTTTGTTAGAGTAAATGGGCAAAATTTTGAACATTTAATTGGACATTAATGAATTTCTGATTAAAATGTGATGTGACTGAATTGATTCATCGATGTGACATACATAGTTTTTCAGTAAAAGTTATGTTAATAATTTTTCAGTAAAAATTATGTTTCTCTGTTATGTGTGACTCATTGTAAATAGCCTTGACCACATCTCATTTATCCACGAGGTAAAATAAAAAAACAATTTCTATTTAAGATTTAAAAAAAATGACATTTGACATGAAGATTGCACTTGTTTTGACCTGTTGAACTTGAATATGTAAGAATATACAGGGTGTTCCATTTGAAAAACAAAGTTGCTGGCATTTCCAGAAGAACCGTAAGTCCGCCATATTGGATTGTAATGTGATCAAATCCGAAATGATTGCTTATATAACTGTACCGAATTTCAGAAAAATGCGTTTACGAATGCAGAAGTTACAGGGGTGGCCCGATACCCTGTGTCACCCGGTATATCGTCTGAATACATACACTATTGATGACATCGAAATTGCGCATGCCTATGGCAAGGCGGCAAGTTCATCAAGAATGGGCGTGTACACCTTAGTAGAACTTTTAACTGAAATCATGTTTATAATGCTCCTTTTATACATAAATAATGATTGACGACATAATTCGATCGAAAAATTAACTGGAATGTTTTATTTTTGGACATAAATAATAGTAACTTCTGAAAACGGCCCCTCTTATGACGTAGAAACCTCATCTCGAGACTGAGGCAACTGATATATTAATTCTTTCAACTGTGATCGCGCTAATTCACTCTGTCAGAAATCATGTATCATTCATCTCTGTCTGGAATAGTCTTGTTTCAGTATTAGGGTTTTGACGTCACATCATCACCTCGTTTTCAGAGGTCCGAAAAATCGGGGATTTCAAAAATTTTTAATAAAACTTAGGGAGCTCACAGCAAGAAACGGTTTGCGGTGGTGAGCTAGTTTGGGTGAGTTCTATCGAATCATGAAATAATTTTTTTTTGTAATATAAGCCCATTGCCGCCTTCATGTTTTTATGCTGGTCCAATTGGTATTGGGAATACTTTATGACCTCACCGTGTGAACCATAGACATATAAAAAGAGGGGAGACATAACATTTCATTCATAAAACACCATTTGTTTACAATCATACATACTGCCGAAGTTTCAAATGAGTTAGAAAGAGATGGCTTCAAAAAAATGCAAAAATGGCAACGCTGTAGGCTGCGCGTCAATTTCACACATTTCTTTACCAGTGCCGTAGGTTTCTTTGGGAGGGATGTTGAAATGTAAACAATACGATCAAACTAGCTTCATTTATTACTGGAATATTATATCGACATAATACCATGAATTGAATACAATTTACAAAATATTTATTCATTCCTGAATAATATTGTTTTTGTATTGATACATCTAGATCTATTTGTTTTGCTTGCATCTAGTTTTCTTATGGTTTGATAATAAATTCTTATGTTGAAATAAGATTTCAAAATGAATTTCGAAACACGAATCGAATGTTCTGATAGAACTTCATCATCATGAATATGGTCTCCAAATATTTCGAATACAGAAGTGGGTACATTATTTAAAGTTTTAGTAATTAATATATTTGATAAATTTTTATTTTTTTGATTGAAAATTCCTTGTGTGTTATTAAAAAATCTGAAAAATTTTTCCCCTTCTTTTCATAGATCCACCACAAATTTAGATGGTTTCAAAAGCCTCCCATAAGTTTTTCGTTTTTGTAACTGAGAAGTTGCATCTTCACTTTCCAAACAGTTCAAGCATTTCGAACAGTCTACAAATTTTTTCACACCTTTAACTACAAATCCGGAAATGTAAGATACAATATCTTCTACATAACATGTGAGTTTCCACGCATCCCCCCATCAATAAATTCAAGAATAAACGTGATATTCGAGTGAAATATGGTATCTCACCCAAATATCACGATCATTTTGAAATTTATTCACAAAAAACCGAAGTAACAATCAAACTTTGACACTATGTAGCTCTGAAACGAATAATTTGCGGACATAATATGTTTATACGAACTTTTCTTCTTAATTTGACTTCAGCAACATGCTGCTCAATTTTTAAGACGTACTTAAGAAACACCGTGTATATTGTCAAGCGAGAGGCAAGGCAATTTAACAACAATGACAATGCTATTATATTATATTATATCTATTGGAAAATATTCGTGTAGTAGCTTAGGTATTTACCTGATTTTGATCCATCATTAAGTGAAATTCAATACTACACCACTGCTGAAGTTACAAGAAACATGCATAACCTTACTTACCGCCGAAATACCAATTCAGGGTTTGAATGGTCAACTTTATTACAGACCACGCACTGACGAACCATAGTGGATTAATAATAACAGATAATAATAATAATTGTCTTTAGATCGTTTTGTAACACTAAAGCGCCGAAAATCAATTTAAACACACAAAAGGTTATAAACACAACACAGCAACACTGTGAAATAGGAATATGACATGATTGAATGACTTTGCGTAATTTCGTAGTAAACAAGCCAATGCATCGTTGCCAAAGTTATTTCCATAATTCATTATAATTTTATATAATCATGAAATTAGGAAAACCCGAACAATTTCAAGAGCAGAATCTATAAATTTCAATCAAAGAACAATCATACGGAATGAATATAGGTACATAAAACGTATATTATATAATTAATGTATGGTAAAATCATCCCTCGTTTCTAAACACAGGCGGTAGATCTAGGGCAATCTGCAGAAGTTTGTCATCATCGACTTCTGCTGAAAAAGATGTTGGATCGGGACAAAATGTAAACAATTTCGTCTCCTCTTTTTATATGTCTATGGTGTGAACCTTCCAGGTGGGACCCGGTGGCGCGGAACTGGCAATACGTCGCGCCGATGCAGAACCAGCGCTGCTCCGCCGGCATCGCCGTGCTGGCCGGCAAGCTGTACGCCGTCGGCGGTAGGGACGGCGCCTCCTGTCTGCGCACCGTCGAGTGCTACGACCCGCACACCAACAAGTGGAAGGCGGCGGCGCAGCTGACGCGACGGCGCGGCGGCGTGGGGGTGGCGGTGGCCGACGGGTATCTGTACGCGATGGGCGGGCAGGACGCGCCCGCCAACAATCCGGCCGCGTCGAGGTTCGATTGCGTGGAGAGATACGATCCAAGTAAGTTATCATTTTTTTTTAGTAAGTATCGTGCTGAAACCACGACATTCCATTTGCATAAAAACTATTAATAATATAACAATAACAGGTAATTTTGTCATTGAAACATTTACTAATAAATAATAAACATAATCATAGTATTGACATTGATGATAGCCACAGAATGCTCGGAAACCTGACATAGGATAGGTGTAGGTGTCAAATGAGTGTCAAATGGTTCTTACTGCTTACTCATATATCTTTATCCTTGTTTATCTCCAGCTGTATATCTTCATAATAATATGCTCCAGGCGTATGCAACTCTCAATCCGCAGAGATGCGGTGTTGGTTGCCTATGGGAATGATGATTTTGTAGGCAAGGTTTATACTCGTTTATATGGTAATCCCAGCAAAAAAGGGAAATAAAACCACTTTTTATCCAAGATTCTTTAATCTGCGCTCAATTCGGTCTTTTCTGAATTCAACATGCGGGAAGCATTGTCGATGTCTCTATAGGAGCTTCAGATTCATCAAAAAATTCTCTACTGAACTATTTGAACCCTAGCGGCTTCTACCAAGTTACAAATATCACGAAATTTGTGCATGATGCCTGGTCATTTTATTTAGGTAAGCTTTTATATTATTATATGAATAATTGTGGTCATGGTTATATATTGAGCACGTGGGTGCATTTCACTTATGCTGTACAGGGCGATATATCCCAACAATATTGAGGTCATTTTATTCAGTTGTAGACATCAGATTTACATTTCGGCATATTGAAAATACCAAGCCTCAGATTAAACACCGGAATCTCTTGAAATCTGTCGAGTCTTATTCAGCCACCAACCCTCCAATAAATCCCTGAGAAAAGAGTTTCTGTGCAGTATTGAACATTTTGTGACAAAACATTGTCAATTTCCTACATTTTCATGGCTGATGTAGTTACCTATTACATGTATTTTCAAATAATTTGATGAATATGGATCGGATAAGTATGCAAAAGGTTCATAAGATTTGATATGTTGAAAATTTGTGTGACCTGATTACTATTTAAAAAACCTCGTAAAAAACCATATGGATTTTTATCTGAATAAATCTTTGTGCCATGAGTAATACAAATCTTTGAAAAAGTCTGATGATATTGTCTACACTCATTCTACACTAGTCTGTTGAATTTCTCCTGATCTCTGATAGGCGGCCAGAAGACTTCATTTTCTTCGTGGCGTCACCCATGCAACCAACCTATGGTAACGACCAGACTCTTCGTAGAACTCAATCACTATGTAACCCATAATAATTATTATTATACCTACAAGAGCTACAATTACACACAAAATTACCACACCGAATCACACACTTGGCACTACAGAATTCCTTGAAATTTTCACTTAATTCAAATGAAGGGTTTTCCAATAAGAGATGTTATTTTAATAGCCTGCTATTTCGGTAGATGTCACTTTTAAAGCTGTCTTTTATTGACATTTGTCAAGTAGAAACTACGCCATTAATAATCATGGTGCGATACACGCTCCAACAGCGCATTGAAATCATTGAAATTCACTATAAAAACGGTGAAAATTAAAGTAAAGCAGCTTGTCGGACCGCAATACAGAAATTGGTGGAAAAATTCGAGCTTTTGGGACAACTTAGTGATGTGAAGAATAAAACCCGTGCACGTCGCTCAAGAACAGCCGAGAATATTGCTGCTGTAGCTGTAACCCAGGTTTGTCCATTCCTCGTCGTTCTTTGGAATTAGGCATTCCACAAACGTCATTACACCGTATTTTGCATAAAAATTTGGGTCTTGAGGCTGATAAAGTTCAGTTAACATAAGAACTCAAGCCGGCCGATCATCAACAACGTCGTGTTGCCTTTGCTGATTGGGTCCTTGAAATGCATGAAAATGATCCGGAATTCCGTCGAAAAATCATCTTGAGTGATGAGGCTCATTTCCACCTCGGTGGCTTCGTCAAAAAGCAAAATTGTCGTATCTGGGGCTAGGAAAACCCAAGAGTTAATTGTTGAAAAGCCTCTCTATCCTCAACGTGTGACTGTTAGATGCGGTTTATGGTCCGGCGGAGTCATTGGACCTTACTTTTTCGAAAATGCGGCTGGAGCAACAGTTACGGTGAATGGATTGCGCTATGGAGAGATGCTATCGCCGGAATTGGATGGTATTGATCTGGACAACGTTTACTTTCAAGAAGACGGCACCACCTGCCATACAAGCAATGAAATCATTGATCTTTTATGCGGAAAGTTTCCGGACCGTGTTATCTCTCGAAGAGGTGATCGCAATTGGCCACCGAGATCTTGTGATTTAACACCTTGCAACTTTTTCCTTTGGGGCCACATGAAAGAGAAGGTCTACGCCAACAGCCCAGCGTCGATTCAATACCTCAAAAATAGAATTCGTGAGGCTATCGAGGACATAGGGCAGCCACTTTGCGATTTGGTTATGGAAAATTTCATGAAAAGAATGTGGTCCTGTAGGCGTGGTCGTGGTGGTCATTTGACTGATGTTATTTTCCATTATTAACGGCTTACCTTCCTCTTTATAATGAAATAAACATCTGATCATTTATATTGAAAAATTGCATTTTTCTTTGAATATAAAAAATAACACATCTTATTGGAAAACTCTTTTTATTCAAACCATCCCAGTGAGACATTCTAGATTTCCGAGTTGAAGAGAGGACAACATAAAACCATATATAACATGGCGTTGCGGTATGCTTTTCGTTTCAATCGTTTCTCGTGTTTCCTGTTCGGTCGGTGGGATCAGCGCATGCGTATTTCGTGTTCGTACTGGGTTGCGTGTACACAGTTACCAGTATTTCGTTAGAGTAAGTCGCCAAAACAACAGGAAGATGACGTCCGAATTATATTCTTATTTGTTTTTGTATCAAAATAATGCCTGTTGATTTATAGGAAACAAATTCATATTATATCATATTTCCATTTTATCCTGTATTCGCAAAAATATTCATATACGGATATAACCTACGAACAAAATAGAACAGAATGGAAGTCGATATAGTACAATCGGCGTCAAATCGTTCACAACGACAACACTGGTCATAACCGAGACACCGTTAAGAGGAAAAGTGCTGCAATGCCATTGTATTTTTTCAGACATGCATATTTGTATCGCTATTAATGCCGCGCTATTCAAAACAAGTACTATATTATTAGAATAATTTCGAAGGTATGATGAGGGATTTTTTTCAAGATGAACAATAATGACGTCAATAGTATGTCAACTAGACGTCACTATATTGACATCGATTTTCGGGAAGAGTAATCACGTCATTATGACGGTTATTTGAATCACGTTAACTGACGTCATAAGAATCAACATCATCTTTACGTCCCATACGACGTCTCTGACCAATATTGACCTCAAAAATGGAATTCGTGAGGCTATCGAGGATATAGGGCAGCCACTTTGCGATTTGGTTATGGAAAATTTCATGAAAAGAATATGGTCCTGTAAGCGTGGTCGTGGTGGTCATTTGACTGATGTTATTTTCCACTACTAACGGCATACCTTCCTCTTTATAATGAAATAAACATCTGATCATTTATATTAAAAATAGTTATTTTTGTATCTAGAGCGCAAAATGCTACTTTGGTGATCGAGATCGAAATAGTCATCGAACCTAAGACAAAAGTCTAAAGCACAGAATACCCAACAATCAGAATAGCATGTCTCGCGCGGAAGTGGGTTCGCGCATTTGAACGGCGCAGGTTGTCGGCCATCTTGCTGGGTTACTTGTTTAAATGTTCATCGAATTCTAAGCTGTGGAATGATCGTGTGAAATATTCAGATATTCAAGTACATATTCTATTTTTTCTGTGGTGAGTTGTTGTGTGGGTTCTACTGTTTGAATAAGTTTTGGTGCCTACCTTGTGAATAAAAAGCCAGTTATAGATTCTTTATTCTCTTCATCTGTTATTGTAGACATGAGTGCTCAAAAAAAACTTAGAGGTGGTCATGTCGTCATGTGTGCGCTGCTACAGATTGCAAAAATTCTATGACTTGGTTTTATTCCTCATCTGATCAGTCAGTTGAATGAATATCCTGTATACCTATTGAACAAGCATAACTGCAATTGAGAAAAAAAAAATGAGCTTAGTTTTTCCAAAAAGCAACTTGAGAAAATAATCTAATGAAAAGTCAAATGTATCAATTTCAATTTTCAGCAATGTTTGTGCAAACCTGTCCTACTGAAAATAAAAGACTTTTGTATACTATTTTTCCTTCAATTAAGTGTAAGTGTAATTTCGTAAGAATTGAATACATTTTACTGGTATCGATAAATGACAAACAAAATGAATAATAAATTCAGTTAGTTCAATCCTGTCATTTCCCTTAGAACGGCCTGCTTGCTAACCCAAGAACACGGCGGATCACAGAAAACAGATCCTGAAATATCAAAGGCGCCGACCAGAGAAGCACTTCTGATTGTTGGGTATTCTGTGGTGGTATCAAAATGTCAAATATTGTTCACATAAATTTTTTTCCTATATTTTATAATTTTTAAATATGAATCTCAGGTATTGACGGATGGATGACTGTGGCATCGTTATCCAGCAAACGGGACGCGGTGGCAGCCTGTTTGTTCGGGGACAAACTGTTCGCTGTCGGTGGATACGATGGTAGTCACTATTTGCGTACCGTGGAACAATACGATCCGAACTGTAACGAATGGAATACTCTCGCTCCTCTCATCACGGGTAGAGCTGGTGCTTGTATTATTGCTGTGAAGAATCCTGTTCAGCTCAACGAATGACGATCGTGTTCAGAGACATGGTGTGTGTATTTTACAACTTTGCTCGAATCTGTGGAACATTATGTGGTTGCATTTATTTAATCAAGACTGAAATGAGGTTATTTGGGGTGTTCTAGGGGAAATGAAGCAACTGTAGATTCTCTGGCTCATATGGAATGATGATGAAAAACAATCTACAGGGTATCTCAGAATAACGTTCGTATACTCCGGGAGGTGATTCTGCAGAAGAAACGAAGTAAAAATGTTTTTATCAACATGTATCCGAAAATGCTCTCTAAGGGCGCTAGAGCCCTAGAGTTATAGAGATATTTCCTCAACAAATCAACATCATGATGAACTCTAATAAAACAAAACTAAGGGGAAATGTGAAATTCTAATTATCAAGTTCTAAGTTTTTCATCATACGCGGGAAAAGCATTTTAAATAACTCTTATCAAATATCTTCTCGTTCCTTACAAACTTTTCCAGAAATTGAGGATTTAAGAATAATATTCGATTCAAAAATGCTAAAAAAGGTTATAAAATGCTAGGTTTCATAATGACACTCCGTACCCTTTATATGTCATATGTCAATAGTGTTTCGAGTTATGGTTCCTTAATATGGAACCCTGGTTACGATATTTATATGAATAAACTTGAACGGGTACAGAATATATTCATAGATTGCGTCAATAAAAAATGCTTTCCATCCAACCCAGCAACCGTACCTATGTTCGAAATGAGCTGAACTTATTATCACTAGCGTATAGAAGGAACATTTCAGACGTTATATTCCTTTATAAAGTCATAAACAATTTAGTTGATCCGCCTGCTATCCTCAGTAATATTTATCTTACAGCTCCTTCTTATATCACTAGGAATCATCACATTTTTCGTTTCGAACAATCTGAAACAAATTATTTTTTGAACTCTCCAATGCATAGATGCGAAATACACGCTGTCAAATTCTATTGATATTGATATTTTCTCTTATTCACATTCCAAATTTTCTTACATTTTGAAAAAACATTTCCTTGTTTTAATATGTACTGAATAAAATTATTTCACCTTTGTTTATGTCAACACGCTACAATCACTACATGTTGTACCTACTGTATTATTCATTACTTCAATTATTGATATTTTATCATCTTTTTAATTGATATTCGATTTGTTTAGTATAAATATCTGTATGATGAGATATGACATATCTGTGAATACTGTTTTTGGGTTAGTCCTGTTTGTATTCCTTTTCGTAAATAAATATATAAATAAATAAATCATAGGAGCTCACGCGCTCAAAATGATTGAGAAATTTTTCGGACATCAATATTAAAAATGATACCTTTTTCATATAAAAGTGTTTGGAGAATCATATTTTGGTAGTAGAAATGAGATGAACCATGAAACCAAAAAAGTTGGGGCATGTTTTCCGTTCCACGAAATGATTCGTAAGATCGATTCAGCCTTAGGTACAAAATTTCGTGATTCTGGGATCAATGATGACAAAGATAATTGAAGAAAACTGCATTTAATGATCTACCTTCAAAGGGCTCTAGCGCCCCTAGAAAGTATTTTCGAAAAAATGTTGATAGGGACATTTTTTCTTATTTCCATCTGAAGAATTAATAATAATAATAATAATAATTTCTATTTGAAAAAACAGCCAAGTACAAACACTAGACCTGTAAAAGGTTGTAGAAACAAACGGGCGTCACACAATATAGGCTTCTGAAACCATCACAAAAATGTATAGTACAAATAGAAACATATAGATAAAAATAATGACTGAACAATTTATTCTAAGTTTGCCTCTAGGTCATCACTTTATGGGGTAGGTCTCCAGGTTTATTAGAAGTTTCCATATTTCTTTCTAAAAAACGTTTGGGGAAGAAAGAGACTTGATTTTTTCTGGTAACTTGTTGACAAATTTTATTGAATTATATGAAGCTTTTTTTTCTGTTACCGCCAATCTATGTGCAGGGTAATTATAATTTATGTTTTTAGTGTTATAGACAATTTGGGTTACATAATCGTAAAAAATTGCCGATTCTTAGTTAAAAACAAGAGACATTCCTGAATATACACAGCAATAATTGTTAATATTTTAAGTGAACAAAACTTCCTCCTACATGATTCTCTATAATTAAATTTATACATAATTCGTGCAACCCTTTTCTGAATAATAAATGAGTGGTCTATAGAACTACTACCGCCATAGAACATTATACCATATCTGAAAATTGCTTCAAAGTTAGCATGATACACAACTTTAAGGATACAAAAACTCAGATGCTTAGATAGTATTCTTATCGCACAGCTAGCACTTTACATAATTTGCTAGCTAATTCATTAATGTGGACATTCCAGTTAAGGTAACGGTCTATATGGATTCCTAAGAATTTGGTACTAGGTGCTATTTCCAACTCTTTATTATTCAACACAATTACCTCCCGGAGTATATGAAATTTATTCTGGGACACCCTGTATGTACAAAGTTCCTTCGTTTCGCCGCAGGAAAAAATCGGTAGATCTGAAAAACCACTGATATACTTTTAACAGAAACATTAGCTTCCAGGCACTCTGCAGATACTTGGAATATTTCAAGTGTGTGAACAACCCTTATCACTGTTGAATATCTCTACCATAATATCTTCATGCTGTTACATATTTATATCAGGTTATTTTTACAATTCATTGTAGGCAGTTTTATTTGAAATCTTTCACACCTCTACGATAGTTTTGATCTTGGACTCGATTTCGCGATTTGATAACGAGATAAGAATTATGCCATCCGATACCATTTTTTTTTTATCAATCAACTCTATTATTCCCAAGAAACAACATTTGTTTATAGCAGGGAACATAGTGAATACATAAATATATTTGACAAAATAAAATGAAGAAGACAGTAAAATAAGACTCACACTCAAAAAGAATCTTTTTTTTTCATGTTCAAATGAAAATGATTCTCAATTGACTCAGCTGTTAGGTACCCAATTGAAAACTATAATAGTTGTACAAGAAAACTATAAAAATGAGAAAAGATGTCAATATTACAGGAGTAGATGTTTCTTGAATTCTCTTTTAAATTTTTCAATCCTATTAATCAGCTTCAAGTTATTTGGTAGTGAATTCTATTGCATCATTCCATTGTGATAGATGGATTTTTTACCAATATCTGATTTAATTTTCTTGACAGAAAAATGATCTGCTTGTCTGATTGTATGGTTGTGGTGATAACTATTGAATGGTAGCTTTCAAAAACCTATTATTGTTATGCTATTATTCCGGACATACTCCCGTCATGCAATAACAAGAAACAAATAAGAGTCGATGATGTCGGCTTTTCGAATATCCAAACGTGCTGCAATCCAAACTGATCTAAGTAAGTGGCAGAGCGTCAATACTTCCTAGAATATTTCGCCTCCCTCTAAAGATAATATCCGACGGACCAGTGTGAAACTCAACATGTGGATTAGAATACTTGTAGTGTGAGCACCATATGAGTTTCACTTTGGTCCATCGGATATTAACTTTCGACGAGGGCGAAATATTGACGCTCTGCCACTAACATAGATCAGTTTGAATTGCGGCACGTTTGGATATTCGCAAAAGGGTAATTTTTCCCTTTCATTTGCTTTTTGTTTCAACTCGTTATCACATGACGAAAGTATGTCCGGAATAATAGGAGCAAATAATTCGCTGTGCCGTGGATTTGGCTCAAACTGAGGGGTGGCACAGGTAGGCTTTTGAGATCTGTCATTCAATTGGTATCGGATAGCATCATTCCCCAACTAGCATTCACACGTCAATTTCACGTCATATACTAGTCACCAATTACGCCAAAATGACCAAATTATCGACGTGAAAGAGACGTAAATGTGACGTCAATATGTCACATCGAAACGACGTCATTCAGCGACGTCGTTACAACGTCATTTAGCGACGTCGTCTACACGTCGAATAGTTACCAAGCATCAGGTCGACTTCACAAAGGAAACTGTGAAACTCGAAATCACTTTCCCATGATCCTATTCCTTGATGGTTGGCAAAACAGTTCAAATGATCTAGTTACAATAGTTGTGGATATTTTTTATTTGTTTACATAATTATACATAGGTATTCTTCATCTGAATAAAACTAATAAGCATAAAGTCCTCTATATTCCATAGTATATAGACATAAACGAAGATGTCAAGTTTCAAAGGAATCTCAACCTAATAACCTCAAATTATTCTTGTACCTACGATTTAAGGTATTTATATAGATGACCTTCTTCAAATAACGACCTCATCACTACATCAAACAACTTCCAAGTTTCATTTGTAGATTTCGCTTTCTCAATTATTGACCTGTTGAAAAAGTCTTGCTGTTTGAAAGGCGGCCACTACACTTCACAGCCTTACGAGGCGTCATGGCGTCAACTACTTCTACTGAACGAGAGCAATGCCTTTCCTCGGAATATTGTATTCCCACAAACATTTCTATTGCCTGGAATTGATAAAATAACCAGCGAACTGCAATATATTTTGCTGAACCCCACTTTTCCATAGTATCCTTGTTTTCCATGACCCAAAATCACGAATCCGTCATTACAACATTCGATGAACTGGATCACGCATTTACATGATTACGACAAACTGTGCTACGATCGACGATGCCCGATAGGGGTAGCGGTGGCATTGTGCGAAACGAAGACACACGAAGCCACGGAGCATGGATTGACCAATCATAAGCATCTATATGTTTTGACGTGGCGCGCCAATATAAATCATGAAGGCACCTGGTAAAATCGTATTTGCATACATATAATAAATTCTTGAATCTTCTGTATCTGTTACCAAATTATCTCTTTCAGGGTGTTTTTTATTAATATTTGTTCTACATATTTCACCACTCAGTTTTATCCATGTCGGGTAGACGTGAATCCTCTTTATTTGCTGAGGTAGGTACCTATTTTATTTTGATAAGCGTTCAATCATGAGTCCTGGATATGCAGTTCATGGAGTAATTTCTTCGAAATAAAACAAAATGATTGGTGCAGATGTTACGTCTAAATGACGTCTATCAGATACGTTTTTGGAACACGTCAAAATGACGTCAATTATTGGTCGAATCTTGACGACGACCAATTGAATTGACGTCACCCTGCTGGCTGGGTCTTATCTCGTTATCACATCGCGAAATCGAGTGCAAGCACAGGAAAGTGCAATTCTTCAATCATTTTGCTCAGGATAGTGATTGGCACAGGTGCCGTTCGATAAAAAACTATGTTTCTACATGCTTTTGGGACATATATCATTTCGTTATCAGATGACGGTAGAAATCTGCAGCCGGCGCTCTTACTAAAAGTAGGTACAGGTTTATCAGTCTAAGATGCCTACCCCCATAGTTACGTTTCTCGTCACCGACAAAAAAATGCAGAAGTTGAATGCCAATGAGGCTATTTCACGACACTCATCAGAATGGTGATCCTTGAAAGCATGACTAACCACAAATCCATTTTTTCAAAAAAGA